GTGGGGAAGAACCCAAGAGCAAGGCTTGTGGAAAAGCCAGGACCCTGGGCAGGAGGGAGGGGCCAGGACACCACCAACTGGCATCTCAGCCCTCCTTTCTGCCCCCAGAGCTCCAGAGCTGCCCCTTGGCCACTGTCTGTCCTCCCTACCCCACCCACCATCCAGTCATTATTTCCCTCCAGACATGGGGACAAGCGTTAGAAATTGTGCCTGCGTGTGGCTGGATGAGAAACCCCTTCCCCACAGGAGGGTCAGCTCTCTTGGGGACGGTTGTCTAGATGTGGGACGCACAGATCTGTTTCTCCACATCCCACTCTCCTTGACCATGTCCCTCCTGCACCTGGCCTGGCTCCCCTCTGCCCCAGCTGAGGGGGCTGGCCTTGGTGTCATGGGTGGGCACATGGCCCTCAAGCAGGACTGAGATGGAAAGTCATTTTGCCTAAAACACAAACATTTTCCTACTGAAATATGCCACTCACCGCCCTCCCCCCCTTGCCATGCTCCCTTCTCCCATAAAAAAGAGGAAATGAATTTTCATTTCAGGGGTCCAGATGGTTAAGGAATACAGCAAAGTTAAATATTGGGAATCCATTAGGTTAACTGAAGCCCGATTACATAAAGGTTTTCATTTTAAGTCTCCTCTGGAGTCACCTCTGAGGGGACCTGATAGCCTATTCCTTCAGCTTCTAGGATGTTGAGGGGGGAGAATGTCTGAGAATACAAAGCTATTTTCTCAAAATGATTACAATCTGTCATTCTGTTAGTCGAAGAGGAGGGTCAGAACTCTCCTGCCTTCCAGATCCTTCGGTAAACGTATTTAACAGTGAAAATCACCGAGCTGGAGGGTGAGCCAGACCCTGCTGGGCCTTCCAGCTTCTCCTCAGCCAATTTTCACTTTGGATCAGGTCCATGAGCCCGAGGAGGCCTGTTACAAGTGAGGGAGTACATGCTGGGGCTTGGAGGTCTTCCTAAGGTAGCAGCTGCTTTTCTGGCTCCTAAATTATTCATTGTGTGGAGTCCACGGAACACTGGCTGTAAAGAAAAACTAAAAAAGTAGAAGAGGCTTGGGGAAGATTGAGGAGCAAATTCTGGCTTGCTTTCCACATTCCGTATGGATTTCGTTCAGTTGGGAAATAACATTACAACAGGAGTTACAGCCTGTAAAAAATGCATGAACCCTCGACTTTCATCCATAGCGTTTGAAAAAAATGCTTGGCATAGCTCATTACCAGAAAGAAAACCATTTGTTAGCTGATTGAGGACACACAGAGCTCAGAAGAAGATGCAGACGTATATCGACATTTTTACCCAGTTCTTTCAAGCAACACGCAGCTGGTGTTGGATGGGACCCAGGAGACCTGTTGCACACACTCTCTGCTCTTCTGTCCTCTCTGAGAGCATAGCTCAGTTCTAGAACTCTTCTAAAGGGTCACAGCTGCAGTAACACACACTTTCTCACACTCGCTCCTGGTCTTTGGACAGGGTGGCTTAGTTTCTGGCTCCACCCC